GACTGGGCTTTGGCGGGTCGGTAATGAAGAAGCATTGGTCAACTTGGGAAGCCAGTACCCATGGCTCATTTTTCACGGTGACGTTTGCGCCTGCGGTCTTGGATTTGGCTTCGGGTATAAACACGACTGGGCTTTGGCATAGTGCGCCATTAGTAGGTTTGCAAAAAAGTAAAAAACAAAAAATTATATACTAATGGCGCACTGTCTTGGTCGTGCGCCATTACAAGTTCTAACTAGTAATGGCGCACTTTGCCATTCCTGCGCCATTAGTTTGTATGGAAAAATGGGGAAAAAATCAATAGTAGTGGCGCACCATGATCACGGTGCGCCATTAGTGTCTTCCACACTAATGGCGCACGAGCAACCGGTGCGCCATTAGTATATAGTAGTGGCGCACTACTTACCTGGTGCGCCATTAGAATCAGTCCTATCTATAGCCCTTTTCCTAGTAGTGGGCTCTCGATTGGAAATCTTGGTAATGTTCATGTACCATTGATGCAATTCATACATTCTCGTTGGGAGGTTCTTGACCTTGTCTGGCTCGACCAAAGGTTGCGCCGGACATATTTCCGTTTTATTTCCTCCTCTATAAGCGGAGACATGGGCTCAATTTCGAGGAGTTGTCCAACAGATATCTTGAGCATTTCAGCCTGCATTATATGCTCCTCCGTTATTACCACATCGCCTAGCTGGGGAACGTTAACGGTTTGCCCACAATAATATTGGGCGCGCGGCCTCCTCTCATGTGTTGTTGGCACAATGATAACCCACAAGTGTAGGGGATCGCAACAGTTTTCGATAAGTAAGAGTGTCGAACCCAATGAGGAGCTAAAGGTAGAATAAATATTCCCTCAAGTTCTATCGACCACCGATACAACTCTCCACACGCTTGATGTTCGCTTTACCTAGAACAAGTATGAAACAAGAAGTACTTTGTAGGTGTTGTTGGATAGACTTGCAAGATAATAAAGAGCACGTAAACAAAAAGTAGGGGCTGTTTAGATAAAGATGCAATAAAGTAAATATAGCGAGTGTGGAAAAGTGGTGGTAGGAGTTGTGGAATTGTCCATACGCAATTGACTATGTTACTAGACCGATAATCACTATTGCAATTCTATTTGAGGGAGAGGCATAAGCTAACATACTTCCTCTTCTTGGATCATATGCACTTATGATTGGAACTCTAGCAAGCATCCGCAACTACTAAAGATTCATAAAGGTAAAACCCAACCATAGCATTAAAGAATCAAGTCCCCTTTATCCCATACGCAACAATCCCCTTACTCGGGTTTGTGTTTCAGTCACTCACACAACCCACTATAAGCGAATCATGAACGCATTGCAACACACTACAGCGGGAATCCCTCACGCTTGCGCGACACAGAGGCCACAATAGGACAGCACCAATAATAAAACATGCAACTCAAACCAATCATAGCAATTCATCAATCACCGATAAGACAACGGAAATCTACTCAGACATCATAGGATGGCAACACATCATTGGGTAATAATATGAAGCATAAAGCACCATGTTCAAGTAGAGGGTACAGCGGGATGCGGGAGAGTGGACCGCTGGATATAGATGGGGGAAGGTGATGGAGATGTTGCTGAAGATGGCGGAGGTGTTGGTGAAGATCGCGGTGATGATGATGGCCCCCGGTAGCGCTCCGGCGCCACCGGAAGCATGGGGGAGAAAGGCCCCCTTCTTCTTCTTCTTCCTTGACCTCCTCCCTAGATGGGAGAAGGTTTTGCCCTCTGTTCCTTGGCTCCCATGGCTTGGGAGGGGCGAGAGCCCCTCCGAGATTGGATCTATCTCTCTGTTTCTCTGTTCTCCTATTCTGCCCCTTCACCGTTTCATTTATATCTGGAGATCCGTAACTCCGATTGGGGTGAATCCTTCGCCTAGAGTTTTCTCAAAAAAATAGCTTTCTTGTGGAAAAGAATGGCATCAACCACATTACGGGTGGCCCACGAGAGTCCAGGGCGCGCCCAGGGGGTAGTGGGCGCGCCCCCCTGTCTCGTGGCCACCTCGGACACTGTTTCACGTTGATTCTTCCTCCGGAAAATCCCAAATATTCCAAAATAGTTCTCCGTCCGTTTTTATCCCGTTTGGATTCCGTTTGATATTGGTTTTTTGTGAAACATAAAACATGCAACAGGCAGGAACTGGCACTGGGCACTGGATCAATATGTTAGTCCCAAAAAATAGTATAAAAAGTTGCCAAAAGTATAAGAAAGTTGTAGAATATTGGCATGGAACAATCGAAAATTATAGATACGACGGAGAAGTATCACACAAAAAGCAGGGGGGTCGATTGCGCCGCATGTTCTCCCAGCTGGGGAACGGTTTTCCTGCATTTTTTGCCCGCTGCTTGTTGGCTCGAGCTCGAGCTCGCTTCCTTCTGTAGTCGTGCTCGATGTGACTTCCTGATTTGGCGCTCATAGTCTGAGTCAACTGGCTTGGGAGCTGGTGCTTTGGCCATACGAATGAAGTGGTCAATCTTTACCTCAGGCACTTTCTCCCTTGGCGGCGGTGCCGGTTTCGGTGCAAAATGGGCGTCCACTTGGGCCTGCACTATGGCTGTGCTTTGCTCCTCGGTCATGTCGTGAGGCCTCTGAGGAAGACGAGCGTGGCTTGGACAATATTTATATCGCCTTGTCTCCGCCTATACTTCTTGAACTACCTTGACTCGTACCGCTACGCACCATAGCTACGGCGTGTCTCTTATGTGATTGCTGAGATGGCGGAGACGGCTGACGTGGCTGAGTTGGAGCAGGAGAAGTGGCCGGATGATTTGCCAGACTTGAAGCAGGAGGTGTGGCCTAACACGGTGCCGGACTAGAAAACCGGAAAAGTGGCCTGACGTTGTGCCAGACTTGAAACCGGAGGAGTCAGCTCACACGTTCGGGGACTTGGAAGAGGTGGCGGACTTTGAGGAGGAGTCGGCTCACGCGTTCGTGGACTTGGAGGAGCGGGAGTCTGCTGACTCGGTGCCGGACTTCGAGGAGGAGCCGGCAGACGATGCGGTGTCGGTGGACTTGGAAAGATGGTACAATCCTTTCTCCATAGGATGATACGATGTATGGTTTCTCCGTGTGTGCGCTCGCCGTCACCTCCAGGAATGTCAAGTGCTAGCATCGAATATGGCTCCACCACTTCATCAACCATGACACGAGCATAGCCCTCTGGAATCAGGATGCAATGGAAGGTTGCTTCGGGGGTAATTGTGAAAGCAACGCCATCCACCACCTTCATGGATATGTTCTTCATTTTGGAGTGTAGCTCACAGTTAGTGTTCTCTATGATGTCATCCACAGGGTATGTATCCAGCAGTGTGTCGCCCGGGGCAGAACCAACGCTGCTTCTCGCCATGGATGGGATGGTGCTACCCAATGAAGGACGATCATCCGCTTGCTGCTGCCGCTGCTGAGACCCCTTTCCTGGCTAAGTGAGTCGATCTACTGCTGCTGCTGCTAGAATTTGAGTGCCAAGTCTGCGTGCCTTGCTTCTAGGCCTTGAAGGCGTTCTGCGTCCTGCTTCCTCTGCTCCTCCTCCAGCTTCCTCTTCTTCTCCTCCTCCATCTTCTTTCTTGCACGGGACCTCTAGTCGTCGTTCCAGTCCGAAAAGCCCTCATACCAGGGAATAACGCCCTTGCCTCATGTTCTTCCCGGGTGTTCAGGATTTCCCAGGGCACGCGTAAGCTCGTTGTGCTCTCTGTTGGGCGTGAACACCCCCCTTCGAGCTTCTTCTATTGCGTCAAGTATCTTTTGTTTGGCTCCTTTTAGACTTGCCTTCTGCGAAACCAGGCCTGTCTTCAGGTCCAACGCCCCCCATGCGCATAGAACCAAGTTTTGCACCTGGAGGCCAGCTCCTAGTAATCGGAGTGACCCCTGCATCCTCCATCTCTTGCTCAGACTTATCCCACTTAGGCATTCCCACCGTGTAGCCACCTGGACCCAGCCTATGGAACTGCGTCTTTTTTGCGGCATTGGCCTTGTTTTTTATCGACCGTTCCTTAGATAATTCTGAATCCTTGAATTTCATGAAATCGTCCCAGTGTTCTCTTTGCTTCTCCAGTGTTCCCGTGAATTCTGGAGTCTTCCTTTCTACAGCGAGGTAGTTGGCCCATACAGTTTTCTTGTGGGTGTTGAATGCAATTGCCATCTTCTTAAGAGCAGCGCCCTTGACTTTCTCCACATCTGCTTCAGTGAAATGATCTGGTAGGGTGAAATGTTCCATCAGAGATTCCCAAAGGTCTTTTTTGGCTCTGTCGTCGACCCAAGTAACACCTGGACGTTTAGTCTTTGGCTCTTTCCATTCTTGAATGTAGATCGGGAGTTTGTTCTTCACAAGAACTCCGCACTGACGAGTCCACTTGTTTGCAATGTTCTTAGGCATGAGGGGTTCGCCACTAGGTTTGGTGGATTTGATGTTGTACTTTACACCATCCCTCAACTTTCTGCCTGGGCCTTGCTTTTTCTTGCTGTCTGTAGAAGCAAATTTTCTCGATCCGGAGGGCTGAAAGAAGAAAGAATGATTCGTTAATATATCTTCAAACAAAAAAACATGTGATGATCGATCACCATGATGCCTGCTTACTCTATAGGAAACAGGTAATTTGCCGTCTGTGAATCCCAGACGGCAAAGACCTAAATCCAGACGGCAAAGATTTTGCCGTCAGGAAGCAGACGGCAAACTTAGACGGCAAAGATAATTCGATAAAGAATACTTTGTCGTCAGCTTTTTATTGGGAAGATGGCAAAGACTTTGCCGTCAACCAACTCTGTCTTTGCTGTGAAGCCCAGTAATAGCAGACAGCAAAGAAAACCATCTTTGCCGTCAGCTAGACTACGTCTTTGCCGTCAGCTAGACTACGTCTTTGCCGTCAGCCTCATATATCCCAGACGGCAAAGAATTTTTTATTATTTCAAAAAATATATGAACCAACAGTGCAGGTGCAGAGGCCGTACATGGTCGAAGGCGTACGCAGAATTTTTCATAGCAATTTTGCAACAACCAATATAAGGATCGATGACGAACGAGCGGATTTTACATGATAGAACTAGTGCATTTACAGTATATATCCAGCACCACTCACTCATCCACGAACAAGCAAATTCTATTTCAACTTCTAAAAAAACTACTCTATTTGACGAACTAGGCATTCCGTCGAACACCTGGAGGGCGCCGGCGACGTCCCCCATGGCGACCATGCACTTGAGGAGCACGTTGTGGGACACGACGCCCAGCGTGATGGAGAGCTCGACTGGGAGGTCGCGGAAGGCCTAGATGGCGCGGGCGGGCTAGCCGGTGTCGTAGTAGACGGCGAGGAGGGCGAAGGGGCCACGACGAGGAGGAAGGTGGAGAGGGAGTGTGTGGGCATGCCGGTGGCGGCGTAGAGCTCGATGAGGCGGATGAGGAAGCCCTCGGAGGGGTGCGGCGACGGGAGGGCGGTGAGGAAGGCGGAGAGCACGGAGCAGACGAGGTCGGGGCGGGCGGCGGCGGTGAGGCGGGAGACGGTGAGGGAGAAGATGGAGCGGTCGCCGAGGAAGGGCGGGTGCGGGATGCCTTTCAGGAAGAGGGCGGCGAGCTCGTCGGGCGGCGTGGCGGCGCTGTGGATGGAGTTCTTAATGCGGATGAGCTCAGCGGGGCTGATGGTGGGGGCCGTAGAGGACTGGGCCTGTGTGGAGAGGAGGCACACGAGGGCCTGGCGGCGGAGGAGCAGCGCCGGTGCCAGGGCGAGGGCCCGGCAGAGCGCGGCGGCGGCGGCCATCGGGGAAGGGCCAGCCGGTCGCCATCCCATCATGGGCATGGGTGGTTGGTGGGCTGGTGGCATGTGTGTGTGGGTGGATGTGGACCTTGTGCGCGTGTGAGAGGATAAGGGAGATGGCACATGGGTGCGTCCGTGCGTGGCAGGTGGTGTGGTGGGTGGTTGTGCAGGCAGGTGGGATGGGTGGTGTGGATCGTGCACATGAGGAGCGGACGGTGTTGGATCGCTGCCATGCCATCAATCCGTGTAGTTGATCCGCGTGCTGTGCTTTCTGTTTGCCGTCTTGAATTGTTTTTTTACAGACAGCAAAATACTTTGCCGTCTTCGTTTTTTTTACAGACGGCAAAGTACTCATTTTGCTGTCTGTAGAGAAAAACGAAGACGACAAAGTATTTTGCCGTCTGTGTTTTGGTTTGCAGGCGGCAAAGTTAGCTCTTTGTCGTCTGTGTTTTTTTTCGCAGACGGCAAAGTCTATTTTACCGTCTGTGTTTCTTTGCGGTCTGCTGATGACGGCAAACCCTTTCTTTGTTGTCTGCCCGACAAAAAGCTGACGACAAAGGCGCCCCCTGACGGTGAATTAGCTGTTTCCTGTAGTGTTATATAAATATACCTCGCCGGTAGTCTTTGTTATTTGAAGACCAGCATTGTCTGTGTCATCATGTCAGGACCCCGACTCGATGTCACATCGATCTAGCCAGTAACACCTCATATCACTTTGCGGCCTCACGCACGGTATCCCCACGGGTGTCGTCTTACCTTTTCCCGGGACCGTTTGCGCCTTTTGGCTCACGTATATGATAGTGTCGCTAGCATTCATATGATAAGGAGCCCGGGCTGACATGACTAGTCGTAAACCCAAAGTGGCACAGACTTACAGGGACAGGCATCCATGACCCCGCTTCGAACGTGTCGGTCATCAGCAAGTGGGTCCGGGCTGTAGCACAGGGCTAGCAGGACTCCGGTAAACCGGGCTGTAGCGGGCTAACAGGACTCCGGTACTCAAAGCGTGACATTTCCCCGAAGGGACAGACACAGGAACGAAGAAGGACACATGCCGGCCAGCCTGAGTGTTCCAGAGCAGTAGCAAGCTACCATGGCTCAGCGGTAACACTAGGAGACTTTTCCCGGTAAGAGAGGCTACTAAAGATAAACAACTAGATAGTCAGATCCCACACATAGCACTACACATTACACGTACGCATAACATGCAAGTATGTGCTGTACAACATGGCATCACAGCATAACTCAACAATTATGTAGATAAAGGCTCAAAAGAGCCGTCATAGCAATTATTGCAAACAGGGGTCACAAGACCCATCATACAGAGCATACAAGCAACAAGCGGAAGCATCACATGTCTGGGTACAGACATCTACAAATGAAAAAGGCTGAAGAGCCTGACTATCTACAACATCCGATCAAGATCGTAGCTGAGGTACTAGCTACTAGTCGAAGTCCACGAGAACACTAGTAAGACCGAAGTCTCCGCTGCAAAAACATAAATAAAGCAACATGAGTACAAAGGTACTCAGCAAGACTTACATCAGATCCTATCATACATGCATTTGTACCAAGAGGGTAATGTGGGGTTTGGTTGCAGCAAGCCAGCTTTGACTCTGTGGCTATCCTGTTCTACGATTACCAGAAACTCTGGAGGTGAAACAACGTACACGAGTCCACTAATCACCACACAATACACTACTATGGATTCATCCCCGTCTCCCTACGAGAAGGCCATCCATAGCACTCACACTTGTCTTGAGCATTTTATAGTATCCACTTTAAGTTGTCTATGTACCATGTAAGCATCCAAGAAGTCCATAACCGCGGACCCGGCTATTCGAATAGATCATGTTAACCCTGCAGGGGTGTACTTCTTCACACACGCTCTCGCCACTTACCGCCATGTACACGTCATGTATCTCGGCAACCTTCAAGCGGAAGCCTGGCGAGGGTGTCGGCCACGACCTGACTAACCACACAAGACTCTAATCCAGGTTTATCGCCTATTCGGGTTCCATCCGCAAGGAGATCCGGCCGGGGTTTCACTCACGGCCCCAAACGATGTGTGCAGGGTTCCCAAGCCCACCTCGCCGGATGGATCTACGCTTGGTACACCGTTCCACTGGTGCCTAGTCTGTCCCAAGCCCACCTGGCCGGGTGCCACTTGGTAGACTACTAACACTACCTACAAACACCAGAAACTAGTTGCGACTCCTGGACGGAGATCAAGTTGATTAATAAGTCGAGAGGGCTTGGAGCGCCCGAAGCCCAATGTGTGGTAGTATCGAGTCATTGGACAACATACATAGAACTTAGTGCTTAAGGACGGTTCCAGTGAGACAACCCACCATGTACTCCTACATGGCCTCTCACCGCTACCTTTACCAAATCGTGTTCACACACACTTCATTCTCAGCATCAGAACATATCGTAACACTCCAATTCATTCCCAATGAATCAGACCTGACACAACTCTAAGCAATAGCAGGCATAGCATGGTAGGAACACATCAGTGGCTTCAATCAACTCCTACAGATGCTAGTGGGTTTCAACTATTTACTGTGGCAATGACAGGTCATGCAGAGGAATGGGTTCAACTACCGCAGCACAAAGTAGCAGATGAATCGTTGTTGTCCTAATGCAATAACTGAGAGCAGGAGCGAGAGAGTAGGGTTTTATCGAAATGAACAAGGGGGTTTGCTTGCCTGGTAAATCAACAAGGGAGGCACTGCTTCACAGACAGGTACTCTGGAACGACTCCGGAGTAGGACCTATCGAGAAGGAACGGTGCCGGCAATCAATACACAATCATATGCAACAATATGATGCATGAACATGGCATGTAGATGTGATGCTGTTGAGCTAATGCAACTAGTAAACATTTGGTTTGAAGTCCATTTGAACCAAAGGTTCAAATGCATTGCTAAATTAAATCTCTTAATATGCCATAATGTGTTTTCCCATATTCAGCATGTATAAGTTGGTTTGTCATGCATGAAACTAGTACAGATGGAAAGATTGCATTTTTCTGATAATTTTTCATATATAAATTATTTAAATCTGAGCTACGGTTGAATTGTTATGAATTTTTGAAGTTTAAAACATTTTCTGGATTTTCTGAATTATTTTAATTTCAGAAAATGTATAATTGCGTCAGCATGACGTCAGCACGACGTCAGCGGGTCAACGCGGCTGTCCAGGGTCAAACCTGACGTGTGGGACCCACACGTCAGTGACACTGGGGTTAACCCCGAGTCAAACCCGGGCTGACTAGCTTTGACTAAGCCCTGGGGCCCACTTGTCAGCGTCAGTAGGTGGGGGATTAGTGACTAATTAGCTAAGCCACGTCAGCCCGCCGGAGTTCTGGCCGGCGGCGACCATTAGCGCGGCGGCGACTCGCCGGACTTGCGTTACAGACGGTGTTTGATCGCGCTAAGACCACCGGGGCGTAGCCCGTCTTCGTCCGCAACCAGGGGAGCTGATGGGGGGCTGCGGGGGCGCCGGAGCTCGCCGGAGCAAGGCTCGCGGCGGCGGCCGGAGTTCGGGCGCGAGTGGGATCGGGCTGCGGGGCACGGGGAGGCCACCTGAGGGGCCCGGCGGCACCCTCGTGGCACCAGGAACGCGGAGGGAGGCTTGGTTTGGGCGGAGGCGGGCCGAGACGGCGGCGGCGACAAGGACGGCGGCGAGAGGCTTCGGCCGTGGTGGGGAGCGGCGCTACGGCACGGGAACGGGAGGGAGAAGAGAGGGGAACGGTGGAGGAGCTCACCGCGGATCCAGCGAGCGCGAGGACGAGGTCGGGGATGCCCGGAAGCTCCCGAATCGACGGCGAGTACCCACGGCGGCCGGAGGCGAGGATGGTGACGGCGATGGCTCCACGGGATGCCCCGTCTTGCTTGGCTCGACGAGGAGGTAGAGGGGGTCGCGGCGGAGCTCGGGGGCTCTACGGAGGGGCGAGGGGACGGCAGGGAGCGCGTCGGTGGCGAGCTGCGGCGGCGGCAGTGCTTCGGGTGAGAGGGAGAGAGAGCAGGGGGAGAGGAGGAGGGCGAGGGAGAGGGAGTGAGAGCGGTGCGGGGCAGCGCGTGGCGACGTTCCAGACGTCCAGGCGTCGAGGGGGAGGACAGGCAGGCAGGTGCCGTGGCGGCACGGCGGTGCGCACGCGCCGGCCACACGCCTCTGGCCTCCTGGCGGGAGGTGGAGGACGACTGGCGCTAGCCAGTCGGCTGGGCCGGCCAGCTGGGCCGCACAGTGCCAGGCCTCAGGTGAGCACAGGTAGGCATTTTTTTAATTTTGTTTTCTTTTCTAATTTTCTGACATTTGTTTGATTTAATAAATATATTAAATCATTTAATTTTATTATGCCAATTTTTGTAGGGGCTAATGGTATTATTCCAGAGCTCCTTTATAGATGACATAATTTTTGGGCCATATTTCATATATATAGAAATATATTTCCAATGCAAATATTTATCGAATTAATCCAATTGGCCAAAATAAATATCCATGAGCTCCTAAAAATATTGTTTTGATTTTTATCTCTGTCCAATATTTTTAGAGGGCATCATGAGCATTTTCTTGGACCCTTTTGGAGAAATTTTTATTTGGGTCATTTTCAAAAATGATTCTGAGGGTTCCACCAATCCTCATTTCAAATTTAAATAAAATTTAAATATGATGCACAAATAGCTAGCTAGTCTAAGTCATACCAGACTAGGGATGTGACAACTCGCCCCCACTTGAAAGAATCTCGTCTCGAGATTCAGGGGTCGACGGAAAGAAAGCGGGGTACTCCAGTCGAAGACGATCTTCTCGCTCCCAGGTAGCCTCTCTCTCGGAATGATGAGACCACTGAACTTTGAGAAACTTGATGTTCTGACGTCGGGTAACACGCTCTGCTTGATCAAGAATGCGAACCGGGTACTCTCGGTATGTGAGGTTATCTTGGAGATCAAGCGTTTCGTGGTCCACTCCACGGATAGGATCCGAGAAGCAACGCCTGAGTT